AATTAGAAGTGTCAATCATGCTCATGAATGAATAAAATTGATGATCTGTTTAATCATTTGGTTGTTTCCTTACTCATGTGTAGGCATATCTTATTGTATTTTCATTATTATTTTGAATTGAGCTGATGTGGGAGTAACTTTTCAATTACAGAATGATTTAAAGGAACTCTGGTCACTTTTAAATCTGCTTCTTCCGGAAGTATTTGATAATCGGAAAGCATTTCATGATTGGTTTTCAAAACCCTTTCAAAAGGAAGCCCCTACACCAAATGCAGAGGATGACTGGCTGGAAACTGAAAAAAAGGTTATCATCATTCACCGACTTCATCAAATTTTAGAGCCTTTTATGCTTAGGCGGCGTGTTGAAGACGTGGAAGGTGCACTCCCACCTAAGGTATGCTTTAGTGATTATCCTTGGTAATCATTTCTTACTGTGATTGATTTCTAACAATGATGCTTGTTTGCAGATCTCCATTGTTTTAAGGTGTAAAATGTCGGCTATTCAAAGTGCTGTATATGACTGGATCAAATCAACAGGCACTATTCGAGTAGATCCTGAAGAAGAGAAGCTAAGGGTTCAAAAAAATCCACAATACCAGCCCAAAGTGTACAAAACATTAAATAATAGATGTATGGAACTGCGAAAAACTTGCAATCATCCATTGCTCAATTACCCATTCTTTAATGATTTTTCCAAGGATTTCCTTGTAAGATCTTGTGGGAAATTATGGATCCTGGACAGGATCCTTGTTAAACTTCAGAGAACAGGGCATCGAGTACTTCTTTTCAGCACCATGACAAAACTCCTTGATATTTTGGAAGAATACTTGCAGTGGCGTCATCTTGTCTACAGAAGAATTGATGGAACAACCAGTTTAGAAGACCGTGAGTCAGCTATAGTGGATTTTAACAGACCTGGTTCAGACTGCTTTATCTTCTTACTTAGTATTCGTGCTGCCGGACGGGGTCTTAATCTCCAGTCTGCTGATACGGTTGTCATATATGATCCTGATCCAAACCCTAAAAATGAAGAGCAGGCTGTTGCTAGAGCCCATCGCATTGGACAGAAGAGAGAAGTCAAGGTCATCTATCTGGAAGCAGTTGTTGACAAAATGGCTAGCCATCTGAAAGAGGATGAACTACGAAGTGGAGGTACAGTTGATTCAGAGGATGACCTTGCTGGTAAGGATCGGTATATCGGATCAATTGAGAGCCTCATAAGAAGCAACATTCAACAATACAAGATTGACATGGCTGATGAGGTTATCAATGCTGGGCGTTTTGACCAGAGAACAACTCATGAAGAGAGACGTATGACTTTGGAAACCTTACTGCATGATGAAGAGAGGTACCAAGAAACTCTTCATGATGTTCCCTCTTTGCAGGAGGTTAATCGTAAGATTGCTAGAAGTGAGGAAGAAATTGAATTGTTTAATCAGATGGACGAAGAACTTGACTGGATTGAAGAAATGACGAGGTACAACCAGCTCCCCAAATGGCTTCGAACCAGTACAAAAGAAGTAAATGCTGTGATTGCTAGTTTATCAAAAAAACCATCGAAGACCACTTTGTTGGGTGGTAATATTGGTTTGGAGTCCACTGAAATGGGCTCTGATGCATCTCCGAAAACTGAAAGAAAGAGGGGGCGGCCCAAGAAAATTCATCCTAGCTACAAGGAGTTAGATGATGACGATGGCGAATACTTTGAAGCAAGTTCTGATGAGAGAGACGGATATTCTTTGCATGAAGAAGAGGGAGAAGTTGAAGAGTTAGAGGATGATGACTATAGTGGTGCTGTTGAGGCAACACCAATTATTAAGGAACAAGTGGAAGAGGATGTCCCTGAATGTGATGGTGAATATGAATATCCCCAGGATTCAGAAAGAGTTAGAAATAACCAGATGCTAGAAGAAGCTGGTTCCTCAGGATCATCCTCAGACAGTCGGAGAGTGATGCAGACAGTGTCTCCTGTTTCTTCTCAGAAATTTGGTTCCCTCTCTGCCTTAGAAGGTAGGCCAGGATCTGCTTCAAAGAGGATGGTACTGTCTTATCTCTCTATATTGATGCTTTATAGTTGGATTGTTTGCATGTGCTATTTCACTAAAGTCTTTTGGTGTATCTCCAGCAAGATGATGTAGAGGAAGGTGAGATTGTTGTATCTGGCGATTCTCACATGGACCAATTGGACCACCAACAATCTGGAAGTTCGAATCATGACCGTGATGAAGGTGAAGACGAACAGGTTTTGCAACCCAAGATCAAGAGGAAGCGTAGTCTTAGGGTTCGCCCTCGTCATACCATAGAGAGGCCAGAGGAGAAGTCTGGTAGTGAGACACCATCTCTTCAACGTGGAGATTCATCTCTGTTGCCATATCATGTGGACCATAAATCTCAAGCACAGTCAAGGGCTGATTCTGAAATCAAAATATACGGAGAGCCCCATGCTGTAAAGCACGACCAAAGTGATTCATCCTCAAAAACTAAGCGAATTTTGCCTAGGAGAGGCTCTAACATGTCCAAAGTGCATGTTAAATCTGGCAGATCAAATGGCATGCCTGATCCTGTGGAAGATGCTGCTGAACCCCACAGAGAAAATTGGGAGGGAAAAGTTGGGAATATAAGTGGAACTTTAGTTTATGGCACAAAAATGTCTGAGATCGTCCAGAGAAAGGTAAACATTTGTCTGCTATATTCTGGTTGAATTGTCCTATTGTTGCCATGTTCTGATTTTTAAGGTTATAAATGCTGCCCTTATCTGCTGCTAATCACTGGTTACACTTTAACATATACAATATGTCATAAGGTGCGTGCTTCCTGTTTATGCAGATTTTTTTAGACATCACTTTTTATAATTATACTGGTAGATGTGGTGTGGCGTGTGTATATGTAAACTTGTGTTGGCTTTATTAATTTTATTTTTTTGTTTTAAGGTAGTATGAATTTCTTTTGCAATTCTTTTGTGAAGTCTAACTAATATCTCTACACATGCAGTGCAAGAATGTAATTAGCAAGTTCCAAAGGAGAATAGACAAGGAAGGTCCGCAGATAGTACCTTTACTGACAGATTTGTGGAAGCGCTTTGAAAATTCTAGTTATGCAAGTGGATCTGGAAATAATCTCTTGGATTTACGAAAGATTGATCAGCGGATAGAGAGGTTGGAGTATAATGGAGTAATGGAGCTTGTGTCTGATGTGCAGTCTATGTTGAAAAATGGAATGCAATTTTATGGGTTTAACTATGAGGTAAGTTACTCAAGTTTTGATGTTCTGCCTGTCTCACCAGTACAATACTGATTCACTGCATTTCCTTTCTGTTGTTGCTGGTTTGATGTCATTCTCCTGCAGAAGCATGGCTAAGTTATATCCTGTCTTAATTACCTTTATTACCAACTATTGTCTCTCATCTCTGTTCGCTAAAACACCCTTTTTGTACTAAATCCAGAAAACTGAATTTGGTTAAAACGTGGCCACAGAAAGGTAACTTGTATGATAGTGGTTGAGGGTCACAAAAGACAGTAGCTTTTGATAATTTATGATGCCTGTATTTTTCAACTGTATTTGCAAATGGTCTGAGATTTCCTTGCTTTGCTGTTAGTAGGAGCACTTATTTACTTATATTGTGCAGTCTTTCCGATAAATTGAACTGACAGCCTCGGGTTTAACTATGATGCACAGGTAAGAACTGAAGCCAGGAAAGTACATGATCTATTCTTTGATATCTTGAAAATAGCTTTTGCGGAGACTGATTTTCGAGAAGCCAGAAGTGCACTCTCATTCACTAGCCCAGTTTTGACCAGCAATGCTCCATCCCCTAGAGCGGTGACTGTTGGCCCAAGCAAGAGGCACAGACTGATAAATGATGTGGAACCTGACCCCGTCCATCAACAGAAGCCACAACAACGTGCACCAATTTTCAATAGCGAAGACACAAGGGTGCGAAGCCATATTCCCCAGAAGGAATCAAGACTCGGGAGTGGAAGTGGTAACAGTCGGGATTACTATCAGCAGGATGATTCTCCGCCGCCTGCTCATCCAGGGGATCTGGTTATCTGCAAGAAGAAGAGAAAAGACAGGGAGAAGTCCGTGGTGAAGACTAGGACTGGATCTGCTGGCCCTGTTTCACCCCCAAGCGTGGGTCGCGGTATTAGAAGTCCAGGTCCAAATTCAGTTGCAAAACAAACTCCCCATCCGCAAGGGTGGGCAAACCAGTCTGGTCAGCCGACGAACAAGGGTGGAGGGTCGGTTGGTTGGGCAAATCCCGTGAAGAAGCTAAGGACAGATTCTGGAAAGAGACGCCCAAGCCATTTATGACTTGCGTACGGGTTGACTATTGATGTGCCGGAAGTTGTCACCTACCTTTATTTCTTGTCCATTTTGTTCATAAGTTTAGTGGCATCAGCGCAATTAGCCGGACTGTTGGTACAGTGTAGATCTTGGTTTACCAGGAGCAGCTTTTTTCTATGAAATTCTCAGTAGTTGCTTCTTATAATATCTGTGGCTCGCAGGTTCTACCCTCCCTCTGATAGAGCAGAGCAGAGCAGACCTTTGTAAAATAAACATTCCCTTCTTTCCAAATCATGAAGATTTCAGTGTTACCATTGTCATCTCGTTACCATTGTCATCTCGTTCCCAGGTGCACTCCAACTGTGGATTCTTGTGTATCATTGCTACGGGATGCCTCGGTGACGGTGTAAGGGTAAGCTGAAGTTTGGCGGCAGCTGAATTAAGCAAAATTCTAAAAGACGCTAGGTGTTAGTCAGACGGGGAGCTAACCCCTCCCCGATTTTTCTCCATGTTTCAGCCTAAATAGCATCGGTCTTCCACCACCTAGGCCGATTTTTAGAACATTAGAATTAAGCGATAACACATTGCGCAGAAGAAATTCCTAGTAGCCTAAATTTGGCAGCTGAATCTAGGAATTGTACATTGCGTTTGCTCATGAACACGCGTGCAGATTGTCCGCGCTAACCCGTTTGAGAACGTTGAGTCCACACACCAGATGAACAAAGCAAACGAAGGATTGATGCATGAAAACAAATAGTACAATTATTTACAGGGGCAAAGGAAACTGATACAAGCTGGGAAATTTTCTTTCCCTTCCCAATATCCAGTCTTGTTTGGAGTTTGGGATGAATTAAGCAAAAGCTACAACATCATGTACAGAGATACAAACTGTTTTTAAAGAACGAGGGCCCTGAAATCCCTATGGATCGGCTTGACCTGCCACTTGATCATCGCAAGAATCAGATTCAGCATCACTCATTTCCTCGTCACTTGATTCTTCTTCCGGGGCAGCTCCTATATCCTCAGGCTTGGCATACTTCAGACAGAATTCTGTACAATTGAGCAACAGTATCGCCATGTCCAACGTTACAAGGAATGCAAAGCAAAACAGATTCCAATCTATGGAGGATCGATACATGCACAATTCGTGGTAGTATCGGTCCTTCATACACTTACACTAAACTAACGTCATTGACACAGCTGAATCCAATAGTTGCTAGCCTGTTTGTGTTTAAATTAAGAATTCGATTTGCGATGGACTTGTAGGAGTAAGAGAAGCATTATTATGTCAACACTCTGAGGTTTATACCCCGGAAACAAAAGGCTTAACACTACTCGAAACATTTTATTTGAAGAATCCATGTTCTGATTAGCACTAATCTAGTAATCTTGACATGGATATGCTGAAGTCAAAATGTAAGTAGAAAAATATGGTTAACAGATACATGATGACAGGGAGACAGGACCCTAAAAAACAATCAATACCTTTAACTCTTTGTTCATAAGCAGGTCGGTCACGCATCATCAAAGCTGCAGCCTCTCCATTTAAAGGGTCAGATGGATTGGGATACAGCAGAAGCTGTGGCAAGAACACTTCAAATACGTTTACCAGATCTGGAAACACAGGCAGATCATGTAACACCAATAATTTCAACAATAAAAATTGGATTTCAATAAAAAAAAAAATAAGGCTACTTAAATGTGTTTACCAAACATGGGGCTCCACGTCTGATTGATAACATCTAAACAAACTGAGCCAGACCTGAAATTAGATTCCGTCGTTATAATTAGAATTGGACACTATTCCTCTTTTCATTTAATTAACAGCGCTATGCAATTTAGAACAGTAGGAATTTATGATAGTTAGTACTCACATCTCATCAACATTTGGGTGGTAGATCTTATTGACAAAGCCTATTGAGGGAGATTTATAGGGATAAGCATCTGGTAGCTCAACTCTTATCCTCCACACACCTCCCTGATAAATACCTGCCACAATCCACGATATGGACGAAATGGCGGGATTACGCGATGAAAAACAAATTACAGGCAATTCACAATTCAAGTAGCTATTTTGCAAACCAAAATCATCAAAGCCAGTAGAGCAATGACGGAACAACAAATTCCATTAAACCTTGTTATCAAACACATTTATAACAAGAAACCAAGAGCAAGTTTGTTTCTTTGCGATCATTAAGTGACTAGATTTCTTCTAAATTTGCAATAAAAAAAACAAAAAAAAACAAAAAGCAATTCCAAAGCAGCATAGTGTTTTTATGGCAAAAGAATCCTCAACTGATAACATCTATAATTAGCTAAATCAATGAATAATCATAATTAGCAAAAACGCCAAAACAGAAACAATCATAAATAGAAAGAAAAAAAAAATCATGGAGAAGCTCTAAAAATCAGAAAAAAAAGATGGGGGTTTTGAAGGTTTACTGTCAGTGGGTCCATGGAAATCCACATAGAATTCATGCATTCCATCATTGATCATTTCCACCTTGTAATCACTCATCATCCTGATAGAACACATGGGAAAACAGAAAATTAAGAAAGAACAAAAGAAAATATTAGTCAGAAAATTGACAGAATATAAAAATAAAAAAAACTTGGATGAGAAAAATATTGATCAGAAAATTCACAGTTTCATCAAGTCCATCTCTCTGCGTTTGCTTGGGGAAGACATGGTTCTGGTGTGAAGTCAATTTCTGCGTTCTTCTTGGCTATGAGTTCAGAGAGAGAGAGAGAGAGAGAGAGAGAGATGAGTTTCTTGCAAACTGAGAGAACCAAAAAAGGGTTCAGACAATAATAAGTGAAAACTAGAAGATAATCAAATTAAAAATGATAGCTGAAATTTTCTTGCAGGACCCACATTTTTAAAATTTTTATACTTATTTTTTTAACATGGGTTGCATTGCACTTTCATGAAAGATTCCTCCTTTGTCAATGTAATTACCAAGCAGACCTAGTTCAAACTCAACTGATTAATTCAACATTACTCAACACCTCCTTGCAAATTCCCATAACATCATTAATTCTTATCCTTTCCAAGGTTAAAATTTTATGGCAAACCACAAATAACTACTGATGATCTTTGTGTTATGACTTAGTTGTTAACGTCGTATATTGGCTAATCTGTTCTAATATCATAAATAAAATTATTTTTCTTTAAAAAAAAAAATCGATTAGCAATGTAGAAATAGCTGATCCGCTTTGATATGGGGCAACTCTTACATCCTTGCATGAACATGGGAACCTAATGGGTTGGACAAGACTTTTTTTTTTAAATTTTATAAATTGTGATGGGTTGTTTAACCTAAATCTCTAATTGGGTTTTATTTTCTGTTGTCATGTATATTAAATTACCAAAATTGTTATTATAAAACATGTTAACATTTATATATAAAACTGTTAGAAATTAAATTTACCATTTTACGTAGACAGGGAATATAGCACCCATTTTCTTAAAGATATGATCTTTAAGGCAAGGGAAGAAGATGAGGTGGGGTCAAATGTGTTCGATGGCTTTCTAAAGTATATCTTCGGAAGTGGGTGAAGCACAATTTTAGACGTCGGGCTTACATTAAAAATGGAATTTGACACAGAGAACGTATGAGCATTTTTGACGAAGATATCAATATAAGTGTCAAAATTTTATTTGAAGACTGATGTGGTAATTTAAAGTTGATATAAAAATTTCTTCCATTGTATGGAGTGTGTTAAATTATTATTTTATTATATATTAGTCCCCGCTAATACAATTTTAAGAAAATATTATTTAAAATAGTTAAAAGTTGTTACCCATTGGTGAATTATGGACCCCACACATTAAACAATAAAACGAACTCCATTTTTGTTTGTTGTAATAAAAGACAGTTAGATAAGTAAGAGGTTAAATGACTCAACTACCATATCATTATGGCATCTCTATTAGAGAAGCTTTGATGTCTTTTAGTCTAAGTTGGCGTATTGACATCTCTTTTAAATGGTCTATTCTAACCTTTCCTCCCTGCCCAACCACTGCCCTAGGATTCTAGGGAAAATTTTGGCTTTATTTTTTGGGACATTTTGCATCCAACAATGCTTAAATTTTTGAAACAGTAATAGGTTAACAAGCTCTATCATTATGTTCTTGGATTTTGCTAAGTACAGTTTTTGGTGAGCGATTTCTGACCATTGATTATTCAGAAATCTTACAAATTAAGCGTTAAAATCGCACACAGTATACGTACATAATTGAATATAATTACGTGAGCAACTGATCGTAGCAAATCTTTTGGGTTCATAAGCAACATGGTCCTAAAACAACATAATAACTTGAAATCCAAAGATGAAATGTCAAGTGGAACAAGTAATTGTCACATGGGCCAAACTCAAACACATGTCCCCTTGGCCCCAAACCAAGGCTTGACAAGTGGAATATGACGTACAGAAATAGTAACCAAATTTACAGCTTTGAAGTTGATTGCTTCCACATTTGAAAGTGCTCTTTAAAGCGTATAGATATCAATCATTGACATGGAAGAAAATAGTTTTCAAAATTTATACAAAAAATTTAATTGACTTCATTCTTTGTTTATGGGCTTCAAACTCTTGTTTAGATACTTATGTAAGCCTAAATTAAACTTCAAATCAATACAAATTTGCTGTTTGTATAGTGGTACTGCTAAAAATAATCTCCGATTTTGAGAAATAACTCATTGTGTGAAAATCATTATCCTAACTCGAATTCTTTATTACCATATCAAATTGATACACTCCATGTGTCAAAGAGTACACAAACAGTGTTCAACCTTGGATTCATTGAATCTTTAAGACATTAATTATCAATATTAATGGCGGGCTACCAACCAAAGCCACCTGTATGCTTTTGTTCTTTTTCTTCTATTCCCCTCAAGTGGATTATGTGAGATTTGGTGGTTGTGTTAATGGAATAAACAAGTTGAAAAATCCATCGTTGAATTTAATTATTGTGAACTCATTTGAAAATACTTTTAAAATGACAGAAATCGTTTTTAAAAATAATGTTTTTGAATTTCAAAAGCACTTGCTTCTGAAGAAGCGTTTTCAAACGAGATCTAGACTACGATGAAGATTTTAGAGAATTTAACAAGTGGATACAAACCACTTAAACAAGACATTGGTGTATAGTAGGCCTTCATGGAGAAGCATCATATTCAATAAACAAGACATGATCTATGCCAAGGTCAGTCGCCCACGCCCCACGATTCATGACCTTGGATGCATGTATGCATCAAAGGTCAGAATTCACAAAGTTCACGCGGTTGAATGACTTTTACATCCCTCAACAAGACATATGCCTACATGTTCCAAGAAGTATACCAATGAGCCACAAAATGATAATTTAACACATGCTACATAAATTGTAAAATGCAACCAAGTTACCAATTGAAAGCATTGATCAGCCTATCCAACAAGACAATGACAACCATATATATAACCAAGAGATCAATCAACAGATCCATGCATAAACCAAAACAAAAATGCCTGAGAGCAAAATCCATTCAATTAACCAATTTCATAAACCACCGCAATTCCAATTACAAGTTCTATGACTGAGACCACTGTTTAAGGTCTGCATCTAACCGCTTTCGCTGTTCCCTGTATTCATTCCCAAAGGCTTTTTTTTTTTTCATCAGCTTTTGCTGTCAAAAACCTAAAAGAAACGTCCCCCAAAAATAAAAATAAAAACCTGCATCTCAGAAGATGAAGTAGACGAACCAGACCCAGGGAGCATCATTGCTGCTTCGAATCGCCACAGCTGCGCTTCCAAGCCCATGTTCGTCGTCAAACCGCTTCAAAATCACTTCTGAAAATGGACCATCTTTACCACGCATAATTTCTGTTTCAAAAAGGCCTTGAGGCCTCTTTCCTGGCATATTAAGGAAATATTCATATCGGACTGTTTACAAACATTGCTCAAACATACCAGCCTTCACAATCTCCCCAAAAGAGTGCACTTCAAATAGCTATCTGTGTTTTGCATGTGGCTTGTGTGGGGATTTTAAGATTGATTTTGATGACTTGTGTTCTTCATTCCCAAAACAGTTTGTCATTGATTCCAACTCTAATTCTTCATCATCACTATCAATTTTGTTTGGAGTAAACCTGTTCTGGTATCCTCTACGCTGCAAGAGAAAGACATTGAAATAGTAGCTAACCAATTCTCTCCTGCTCTTCTTAGTAAAAGTCTTATATATCTCATCCCAAAAACGCAATCCAATAGATAGAGGATTTGACTTTACTAAGGCCTCGAACTTCTTTCCTTCTTCTGCTGTCCAAGGGAGTCCAACTTCCTCGCCCATCTGATTGAATTCCCAGTGGTCGAAAGCTGCCCCCAGTTCCCGCTTAACTCTTAACCTTTTCTCAGAAATGTGAAATCTGACGCATTCTATAGAACCTGGCACTTGGCATCCGCAAGATTCTTGTCTTCCCTTTCCAATAGGATCCCTCTCAATGAGATATCTGTGCTCTGGTTTTTCCAATGGCCAAATCCTGGACCCCAACCACTTCGATTCACTTTCAGAAGCCTCACCAGTCCATTCTGGCAACTCAGCTTGATAATTTGACCCGAGAGGAATGTGGCTTGGAGAATAATCACTGGTTCCTCGCAACTCATCCTCCATCCCTGCCATGCCAGGACTATTTTTGTCCAGGTCACTGGCCGAGGATGACTCTGAACAGGGTCCTGATTGTGGTGTTCTCCCGTCTGAAAGAAGCTTCTTCTCCAACCTTAATCTCTCTCTAAGATTGTAAGCGGAGCCAAAATTATCATCGTACATGCTTGGATGCATCCTCTGATTCTTCTATAAGTGGGAACATGGTTTCATGTCAAAAGGAAAAATAATATGAAGATAATTATGTAGTTTATTGGTTTAACCAATATTTGAATATAGCAACCACGGCACCAGATAGAAACAATATCAAACATAAATGGAGATACACCACCTCTTTGCAGGTAGCCTCAATATATTTAATTTTATCTTAAGGTAAAATTTGTCTTACAATTTGGGAATACAAAAGAAGCCACTGACTTAACCCTAAAAGTGTTGCATATTGTGCAACAAACAATTCACTAGTAACTAGCTGAGTACAACTAACTAACTAAGCAGACCAGTTTAAATAATATACTAGGAAGATTTTCCACTATGGGTGTTCATATTTAAGCAAAAAATAAGGACATCCTTTTTCTACGTTGTAATCCAATGATGGGAACGGTTCAGTTTTTAGCTTCTTATGCAAGGATTATCCATGCAAAAAAACTACTAAATCAGAAACTGCTAAGCCATTTAATTATCCTCATTGTTGTTTCAATTTTACCTAATTGTGTCTTTTTTTGCACCTTTTTGATGACCAAACAGTTTATGATCTCAATGATTTTTTGAGGGATGATCCATGAAGAAGAGCTAAAATATAGACGGTTCCAATTGAACTGCATTGCAGGTAAAAAATATAAGGACATCATGAAAATAGAATACACTAGCACACTCATCAGGTATTAACAGCATCTTCCAGAAAACAAAATGGGTACTATTGTTCATTTAATTATCTTTCCAGGAGAAAAGAGCAATATCCTTTTTTAAAAATTTAAACAAATCTTGAAGTTCTATCGTATCCACCAGCATACCATATATAAAATTGATAGGAATCTATTTTATCAAGAAAGGCATAATATTAACGAAACAATAACATTTCCATATCCCAAAAAGACAAAAAAAAAAAAAGCCAATAGAGGATTCAGGCCCAGCAACAAAGGTAATCAAATTATAAACATGACTGTATTAAAACGATGCATACGTGTTAGCACACACATACGCGTATACAACTTTAACCTGATAGATCTTACCAAATACACACATGCAAGAACAGAATATTTCCAATTATCTAAAAAGTTATAGCACATAGCATATGTTGATATACCTGCCAGTTAGACTGTTCAGGACCTGAATAAGCATTCCTCTTCAGAAAGATAGCTTCTCGAGCCTGCAAAACCTGCATCCAGTTCTCCTCCTTCCCGAAGAACTTCCACTTTGACCTCTCTGGTAATGAACCAACTGAAGGATCACAAGGATCCTTTGCAATCATTTTAACCCAATTCAGCATACACAGTGATTCTTGCTTTGTTTCGCAAAAAGGACTCTCTTCTTCAACCGTCGAGGAATCCAAAATCATGACATGTTCATCACTACTGTGATTTTTCTTCCCTCTACGCAATTCCCCCACCTCACTTCCCCCGAATGACTCTCGCTTCCTTTTACAGAAAGAGTTCACTTCTCAACAGCAGATGGATCCAAAATCATGACATCTTCACCAATGTCATAATTTTTCTTACCTCTCCCCGATTCCCCCATCTCACTTTTTACCTCATTAATGTCACGCAACTTGTCAACATCCTCCATGCTATTCGTCAAATCCACAAAATATTTCATGCCACAACCTGACAAAGGCACATTACCATTGCCAAATTTTCCAGCATTCAAAACATTTGCCACACTCATCGTATCCAAATCCAGAAATTCTTCACTAACACCACTTTTCTTGAGCCTATCCGAATCTGCTACTGCACTTTCCACCTCATTACTATCCTTAAAACTCTTAGATGACAATTCAACATGCGGGTAACCCCAGTCTTTCAATTTTTGGTCAGACATATCTGAGAGAACTCTGTTAACTCCTCCTGCAAAGCCATCAAATGCTCACCCAAATCAATATCACTACTAGCCAAACTCCATTCCAAGTCCTTCTTTTCTATAACCTTCTCTAGCAAATACAAATACTTAACATAAACCAATTTCACAGCCCAGCCAAGACTCAAACCCAAGCCACACTCTTCTGCCACTGAATCCCAAACCCCGATTCTGAAAGAACACGAAACCCACCTCGCCTTCTTACAACCCAAAATAGCTTGAGCAAATCCACCCGCTGCCCATTACTGATCATCGGAGGCAAAGGCCGGAGCAGGTCTTGGGCACAGATATCTTTCAGAAAACCCCCAAGAAACTGATCGAACCAGCATCGTAGCTTATCAGGCACGTCAAAAAGGAACCGTTTTGGAGCTTTCGGAGGCGGTTCAAGATCGGCAGAGGAGCCGCCCGTCGGGTCCTCTTTGGGGGTTTCGTTCAATCTAAAGCGGACTCATCAGCTAACCACGACCACCCTGCCATGGATTCCGAATTCAAACCCTAAAAAGCAATTCGCTGGTCGGTTTTTTTTCAAAAAAAAAAACCCAAAACCACAAAAACACAGAGGGCAATATATAAACACTTCAAAATTCAAATACAAGAAACGATTTTGACGACATAAACATGAAATTGGTACATATTAAGCATCTGGGTCGGTGACGGAATATGGAGTTTTGGCGGGAAAATAGATCTATATCTAGAGCATGAAAATGTTACCGAGTTTGAATTGGACCCCATGAAAATCTGAAATTTGTTTTTTCAGTCCCGCGCCCTTCTTTTATTGCAGGCATTGATGATTGGGTGTGCGATTGCGTGCGTGTGGGAGAGAAAGAGACGGCACAAAAATTTCCATGTTTTTTGAACAGAAAAAAATAGACCCACAATCCACAATTTAGGTCAATCTAATAATTTACGTCCTCACACACACACAATAGAGAGAGAGAGAGAGAGAGAGAGAGAGAGAGAGAGAGTCAAAGAGAAACCATACCAGTACTGGTGTTGTATTTTTTTGAGGGGTTTTTTGCATTTGATTTTTGGTGACTGAGCCTTTGCTTTCTCTTTGGGTGTTGTCTTCTTTAAGTCCTTGGTGCTCACCTTTGGGTTTTGGCCTCTCTCTCCCTCTCTCCCTCTTTCCCTCTTGTCTCTCTCTTTTCTTTACCCTTTGATTTGTTTGTTACCACTTCCCACCCCAACCCACACCTCTTTTGTTGAGGTGTGAGAGAAAAGAGAGACTTTTTTATGGAAATTAATAGGATTTTGAAAGGCTCATAGGGTTTTTGAGGGAGGGCCCCTATATTTATACCTCACATCATCCCACTAACCTTGGTTAATCTTTTACTGGGTGGTTGAGTTAAGATGGGCTTGGGTTTAACTGATTGTAGTGGAGAAAATCCTTTTTATTTTTTATTTTTTTTATTATAATTAAAATTCTTTACTTAGATCTAAAAAATATATGTATAGTAAAAAATAATTCTAAAAATTCTGAAGACGATGAGTGGATAAGGACAAGATTACCTTCATTAAATGATCAGAGCTCTCAAATATTCACACACGTACCTCAGCATTCCTGAAGGTTCAACTAATCATAGCTTTCTTGCTCGTGGCAAGGCAAAATCAAATGCATTAAATATAGGAATTAATCACCAAATCTCATCTTTAATACATTCCCAATTGAAGATTAACTCTATCAAGTAAGTAATATTTATTTTAGGGATGTTGAGGGGATCAACATTATCCCAAGATATTATTTATCAATTAAGATCTTGAGAATATTCTTTCTTCGCACCTTGGCCAATAAGATGCTGTCACGTGTAGAACAAAACCGTAACATTGTGGCCCGCCTTGTCCTCCTATAAATACCTCCATCTCTACTAAATTTTGGTAAGCTTTTGCTACCCCTAAAGCCCTAAACACTCACTCTTTTCCTAGAAACTAACTTAGGCATTGGAGATCCTCCCCACCTCATGGACGTGTGAGATCAAAGGTTTTGATTGTTTTGTAGGTACATTTTCGTCAAGATTGAAGACAACAGAAATTCGCTATCACAACATAATCATGATTAATTACAAAGTAATAAGTAGATTTCAAACACTTCACTAAGAGTCAAACTCGTTTGGAATTGCAAAATTACAAGAATCAATAGAATCGTAAATTCATGTTACTGAGAGATGATTTGAGAACAAAAAACTCTTAAATTGTATTGGACCCAAATTCAAACCGCATAACCTAATCACCGCCACCATAACATCAAGTAAAGTAGATCCAATGAATCAAACCACCTACACCCCTTTCACACCAAGATGAAACTAAAAGAAAACACTCTCCTATAGAAATTATTAGATATAGTCACAATTAAAAAGGACAAAATAGTACATCATCCTGATATCTTGAAAGAAACCATAGCATTGCACTGGCTAAACTCATAGTGTTATACTAGCTAATTCCTTACCTAATGCAAACTCGATAGATTTCACACCTTGTAGCGTAGTGTCGTACTAGCAAAATCCTTATCTTCTTTGTTTGAAGAGAAATGATAGCTATAATTCATTGATACGAGAAAATACGATTAAACAAGGATGCCAACTGAGTACATCTTTTTCGATGATCAAATCCTTAATCTAGAGAGAATAAGCACACAACAAGCAATAACTAATCCCCTATATAGCAACCACAATGAACAACACAAAAGAACCATTAGTATAGATCTAACACAACATATTAGTGGTGGCAAATCGAAAACCTAGAGACACCTAAAGCCACCGCCAAGAGCGAGGCCACACACAAAGCCACTGCCCTGAAAAGTTACATTTGAAAACCTATGTGGTGACATTTTTTTTAAGTTTTTCTCTTCACTTGATATGTTAAATTAACATTATTTGCTCCCAAAAAGCATTTAATAATCAACTAAAACATAATCATAAGTCGCTGTCAATGTGGCAGCAAAGGTGATGGATGACAGTCTATGTCACGCCACAAGTTCAACATAATTGACATTTAAGTTGGAAAACAATGTTGCTATCTTATTGAACGTTAATGTTGATTTCAACATTTTGGTAGAGATGTTCTAAGGATTGAAAACGATTAAATTTTACCGACTATAATACTACATGCCGGAGGAAGATAAAACGGCAAAAAATGGTATCTTTTATTAACTAAGGTGTATGTCGCAACTGCATCAGTTTAATTAGTAAACGTAAAACACAAAGGGTTGTAGTTCGGGTAATCAAAAGGTTTCCCCGTTGCCCTCAATGTAATAAAAAGCATTAATAAGCTTGAAACAATATATTTTTAATTTAATTAGAATGAGTGCTTAAATTCGTGTTGTATCTAAGACAACTCAATAATAATTTCCTTATCTAATAGGGAAATTTATTCTCTTAAATAAGCATATATCATCATATGTAGCAAGTAATCATTCTATATAGAAGACTGACACTAAGAATTCTGATTCTATTATTTAATTTTTTTATTTTTACTTTTTACCTAAATAGGAGATTTTGACAACTCTACGATCCATCAAGATGAACAAATACAATATAAGCATCAACCCATTATCTGCACCTTATGGTTTTATGTTTGTCGGATGAATAAAATATCATGACATTTTATGAACTCCAACAGAGACATTTTAGGTTTCCACCAAGAGATGATCATCTATTGATGATCAACGGATTGGCTGCAATGTCTAACTGATCATCTTTGGCAAGTTTGCAATAGTTCATTCAGATATCACATATTTTCTGGTGGTTCATGTGAAAATGTGATTCTTCGAGAAATATTATCATGTTTAGTGTTTTTTTTTTTTGTATTTCTTCAACTGCAATACAGTAGAAGAAAAACATCATAGATTTTAAGCATGATTTCAAGTTTATCTCATATTGGTTTCGTGGGGTGTGTTCAATCAAAGTTTTATTTAAAACATCTACAACTTAAATAGTCATTTATATTAAGACATATATAAATTTTTTAAAGAGATGTAGTCAACAAATTGTAAGGTACCAATAAAAAAAACCCTTGTAAAAATAACACAAAAAAGTCTATAGTGATAATCCAAGACAAAAAATAACCATAATAATTATCTTAAGGATGATATGGTTTGATTTCTGATAAAGTTACTGAAGCAACATTAGATTTATTGTTAAATCTTGGGACACTACTTTTTATCTTATTTTGAATTTCCAGGTTTATTTAAATATTAATTTGTTATAGTTGTATATAGTTTGGAGAAAATAAAGTGATAAAGCAATTTTGTAATTAAGTAAATTACTTTTTGGGATCTAACTTTGGACTAAGTATATAGAGCTTCAAGTTCACGAGAGATTTTTCAATGTGCCCTAAACATGAGCATACATTATATGTCATTATACAGGTGGAGGAATATTTGAAAAAAACTTCATTCTATTTGTATAATAACATATATTGTACAACCCCATATTCTAGGCACATTCAAAAAGCTCCCCAAGTCCACAAGTATGCAAACGACACGCGTTTTTAAGTTTAGAATACAAAAGTTAATGTTTTGAGCCCATGAGCATTCTGATAATTCAGACAACATGTGTATATATAACAGATTTATCAATTTGTGTTCCAGTCAATGTGAGTGTCAACGGTGTGATTCAAGCAAGGTGTGTGAGATTGCGTCGGTGACGCTCTTGGAGCATCTTTAAAGCCTTTTTAACTTCAAATGAGGTTGTTTAGTTATTTTAACAAAAAGGGTAGAACAATGGTTCTCCAAGAGACTCTTTATCTTATTTTTTTTATTTTTATGTATAGTTGCTCTTTAAACATAAAAAAAAAAAAAAAAAAAAATTCTTTATCAAAAACAAAGATAAACAATTATTAATTGGGGAGGAAGATATTGTGACAGCCCGTCCCAAAATATTACAACGTACGTGTGAAAAGACAAGATTGCCCTTAGTTCGTTTTCTTTACGTTTTGTGGTTATTTTTGGTTGGTTGCTGGCCAATGGTGGACCACACATTTCCCTCACTGTTTTCTCCCTTTCCCTGCGCCTGTCCCGCGCCCCATTCCCTTCCCATTTCCTTTGAAACGTACGGACACACCCACACACCCATCGAACCTTCACAGATCGTGGAATCCAAGCACATTTTCAGACTCGTGAGGCTTGTAGGAGTCCAACCATGCCCATTTCAGGTAAGAACACCTTCGTTTTCACGTCAAATACACGATGTCCGATTTGAGGTACTGTTCATGCACACGTGATTTCTCACATTTTAGGGAATTTCAAGCTTGTAGGTAGCTTGGTGAGGTCCTTAGAAGGCTCGGGGTGGTTCGTTTGATGGTTTTGGATGTCGGGATCACTAGTTTCGAAGTTGGCCGGAGTTGGGTTGATTTTTCAGGTGAGATTTTGTGGATTTTAACCCTTGAAAGTGGTATGATTGTGTTCCTCTAGTTCTAAGCTTCATTTTGGTACCAATTTTGTGAAATTTGGATGAAAAACAAAGAAGATATCAACGTTTGAAAAATTCTCGATTTTCCGGCACCGGCGAAGGCGCCGGAGGCTCGCCAGAGAAGACGACGGAATATTCCGTCAAGTCTGACGGAATATTCCTGACATCGTTGACGGAAACCGTTAGGGATAACGGAATATTTCCTCACGGCGTCAGTTGATGCCGTTAGCGTGCCAAGCACGTGCCTGCGTGTGGCCGGCGCGTGGGGGCGCATGCGGCGGTGAAAATTTATTTTAAAAATATGGGGATGTTCCTGAGGTTGAGTAGATCACGTTGGTGTATTCATACACCCCATTTGAGCATTGTATGAGAAGTTATTTATAAAGGTTGGTTATGTGCTTTAAAATTAACGTTTTTATAGTTATTTCGCATATAGGTGAGACGTATCCCGAGAACGAGCGTGGTCACTCGAGGCAGGGGGGTTACGACCCTTCCACTTACCAGTGAGTGGGCTTTTGGTTTTCCGTATATACCTATATACTTATATTTTCCCAGAAATTGATTTGAATTGTCATTTGCCATATGCCATGCATTAAATTATCGTTATTTATGCATCGTTAGTTGCATTATTAGTTGTATATATATACATATGCATATTGGGTGCTGCGGACGCACAGTTAAGTGCCAGGTAAGTGTTATTCATGTTTACATTCAGCAGTGATTCGAGATGCTTAGAGAGCTCATAACCTGCACCCCCGGTGTTAGTGTTCCCGCCCAGAGTAGGGCACAGTCCTTCACGTGTTGTTCACCTCCCGCACAACACGCTCAACTTGGATCCAAGTTAGGTGCACAGT